CGTAATGCTCGGGTTCGGGGGACTCGGGTTGGCCCGACGGGGTCATCATAAAAATAACGAGGCCCGATCTGAAATTTGACGCGAGCTCCCGCTGCAAACATCCCACGAGAACTGGACTGAACCCCCTAACATGCTCAAACATTGCAAAACACATCGTCCCCAAACATTTTTTACTATTTTTGAAAAGCGGTGAGGGCATTGGATAAGGAACCAATGGATGCAGAATCCCCGGTCTGGAAGCCAGTAGAACCCCAGTCGTGGATTGCCCATGGGTAATGCCGCCGCCCTCATTAGAGAAGGAACCCTCCAGGGTCCGAAGCCTCCTGGGCACAGTCCTTAACCAACGCCCCCACCGAATCCCTCCTGTAGAGGGACGTGCCCGACTTGGGCATACTCGAGCCTTACGCTTCCCCGACACGTCGCAGCTGCCCCGGCACTCTTCGAGCCCGATCGGTCCGTGAGGGCCCCGAGAGGTGCACCGTTTCCACCGCGGCCGCAGGCGACCCGAGGAGAAGGAGGAGGAGGAGGAGAAGGAGGAGGAGGAGGAGGGGGAGGAGGAGGAGGAGGTGGAGGAGGGGAGGGGGGGAGGTGGAGGAGGGGCAGGGGGGGGGAGGGGGAGGAGGAGAGGAGGAGGAGGAGGAGGAGGAGGAGGAGGAGGAGGAGGAGGAGGAGGAGGAGAAGAGGAGGGGAGGAGGAGGAGGAGGAGGAGAGGAGGAGAAGGGGGAGGAGGAGGAGGGAGGTGGAGGAGGGGGAGGGGGAGGAGAAGAGGAAGGAGGAGGAGGAGGAGGGAGGAGGAGGAGGAGGAGGAGAGGAGGAAAAGGAGGAGGAGGAGGAAAAGGAGGAGGAAGAGGAGGAGGAGGAGGAGGAGGGAGGAGGGAGGAGGAGGCCCTGGAGGGGCACCCCCAAAAGTGGGGTGTCGGGCCAAAGCGCCCCCTGGCGGAGGCGGGGACCGCTGGGCCTTCGGGGCACAAGCCCCCGCACCTGGGATGGCCCCCAAAGCGGGGTCCCCTTCCCAGGCAGTCTCCAACGGGAGCCTGGCTTCCCAGCCAGGTGTCCCCCGTGGGAGTCGTGTGCCAGGGGGTCCGTCCCTTCCCGTCGTGTCGTCGCCGTCGCTGTCGTCGTCTGTCGTGTCGTGGCGGGCCCTTGGGGTGGGTGGTGTATGTTTGGTGGTGGCCTGGCCCCTGCCCGTTCTGTCGGTGGTCGGGTGTTTCCAGCTGGGGTGCTTCCAGCCGGCAAAACGTGGCGGGGGAGCTGGCCGCCATTCCCATGCCGTCCGCTTGCGGGGGGCCCGCCCGCGCCGTGAGCGCCCCGCGGCCCGGCCGCGGCGGCGCGCGCGGCGCGCTCTGGTTTCGGCGGCCCCGCTTTTGGGACTCCCCGCTGCAGGTCTGCAAGAAAGAGGAGGGAGGGGGAGGAAGGGAGGAGGAGGAGGAGGAGGAGGAGGAGGAGGAGGGAGGAGGGAGGAGGAGGAGGAGGAGGAGGGGGAGGAGAGGAGGAGGGGGGGGGAGGAGGGGAGGAGGAGGAGGAGGAGGAGGAGGACGAGGAGCAGGAGGAGGAGGAGGAGGAGGAGGAGGAGGAGGAGGAGGAGGAGGAGGGAGGAGGAGGAGGGAGGAGGAGGAGGGAGGATGACGCGTCGCCTAAGCCCTTCGGAGAAACCCTCCGCCGATAGGCCCGCAGCCGGGCGAGAGCACGCCAAGGCGTGAGGAAGGCACTGCGAAAGACGCCCAGCTCTCGGGGGGCCCCCGCGGGGGCGCGCCCCAGAGCCCAGGCCACGAATACGTGGGCGTGGACACCCCAGACTCGGGGAGACGTAATACTCGGGTAAGGGGAACTCTCGGGCCGGGCGAAAGGGGGGATAGCAAAGGGGGGGGGGAGAATCAGCTCACGCAGCTGATTTTCATGGTGCCTCCCGGCGCCAGGAGGTGGCCATGTATCGAGGAATGGGGCCCTCGGCGGGGCCGAAACCAGCTGCATGCAGCAGATTTCGTACCCCCCCTTTCCCTATCCCCCGTTTGGTCGGCCCGAGTGGACACCCCAGACTCGGGGAGACGTAAGACTTGGGTAGGGGGAACTCGGGTTGGCCCGACGGGGCCTTCATAAACAAATGACGAGGCCCGATCTGAAATTTGAAACGAGCTCCCACTGCAAGCATCCCACGAGAACTGGACCGTCAAAATCCAGGACGCGCTCGTCAAAAAGCGTCGACAAACCCGAGTTCTGGCTTACTCGAGTCTTACGTTTCCCCGACAGAGATGCGACGTCTTGATTCGATGCTTTCATTATGTTAGCCCCATCGTGGTTAAGGACCACATCCAAAACATGATTTCGAGCACCCAGAAAAGTGTCGAAGCAGTGTCGAACGAGTGTCGCCTCCAAGGACCCGACACGTAAAAACCCTCCAGTATCGGCTCTTTCTTGGTGCTCGAAATTCTTTCTGGTGGTCAAGGCTACAGGAGGTTCGAACATCATTATGCTTTCATTTTTTTCCAACACTGAGCTTTGTTTTACCCTCCCCGGGTAACGGTCGTTACCCTGGGGGGGGGATTCGGGCGGGAGGGTCACAGTAACAGCGGCCGCGGCGTGCACCCGCCAGGATGCGTCCGCGCCACCGGCGCGTCAATCGCCTGTGTGCGCTACAGTCCTTGCGCGTCCTTGTCGGGACCAGCTTTTCATCCTGAGCCGTTTTTGTTGACAATCCTGGGGCCCGACACGACATAAGGGCCCCCCGAGGCCCAAAACGATGAACCCCCCACCCGCGCCTGACTTTTTCACGACGCGAGCATGTCTGGGACGTTCGCTGCCCGCGACCCCCGGAGGGCCCAGGCCCTGCGAGGCGGGCTCCATGGCGTCCTCCGGCGGGCGCGCCAAAGGGCGCGGGGCACCGGCGGGGGCGGGGGCGCGCAGGCGGGCCGGCGGGAACTTGATCCTGGACGGCCTCGGGCGCAGCCGCTGCTGAGCCTGACCTGAGCGGCAGCGTTTGACGCGTCGTCGTCGTCGTCGTCGTCGTCGTCGTCGTCGTCGTCGTCGTCGTCTGCCCCCCCAGCAGAGCTAGCCAGGCAAATCCAGCGGTCGATGGGCACCTCTTGCACCCATGTGCCCGCTCATGGTGCAGCCAGGTAAGGGGGGGACCGGCTCAGGGGGGGAAACATCGAGCTTGAATCGGAGATACATCGCGGATAGATCGGCGATAGGCCCCCGAGCGAATCCACACGGTCCTGGGCGGGGTGGGCTATCAGGCTATCAGGCCCCTATCGGCGATCGATGGGCCATTAGGGGTCGATGCATCCCCCTCTGAGCATATCCCCCCTAACGTTGCCCCTGATGAATCCAGATCTCCGCCGATGTGATTTGTGTCAGCTGGCGGTTTTCCATTGATTTCGGCCCTCTGGGGGCCGCTTTTTCGGGCCCACGGCCGTCGCCGTCACGAATGGATCCAGGACCAAGCACTGCCCCGGAGGAAGGGGAAGGGACCTCTGGGGGCGCGCGCTGGAGACAACACACCGTCGGATGTCTGGGAACCCCTCCCGCGCGCCCGCCCCCGGGACACTGCTCGCCCTCGGCCCCTTGCGCGCGGCGAGGCAGAGCCTCTTCGACCGGCTTCTGTGCCCGTGGGCGGGAGCGGAGCAGGCAGCACAATCAAACGCGTGCCTGAGCCCCCTCGCCCTCCGAGCCTCCTCTCGCCTGTCTCATGCTGTCAGTGCTTGTGTTTGGTCGTCCTCCACGGATGCGGTGGGTTCGAGCGGCGTTGGCGCGCGCCAAGGTTTTTGACACCGCGTCGACCGTTCAGCACTGAATCCATCGCGGCCCCAACCGTTCAAGGTTGAAGCCCGTCGGGCCCAACGGCGTTACAAAGGCCTTCGGTGCTTCCGCGTCGCAGAATTCAATCTTGTACGCCTTCGCCGGCGTCGCCAGCGCGCCAACGCCGCGTGAATCTACAGCACCCCTGCTGCGGTGTGGGAGCTTTGCTGCCCCGTCAGCTCAGCACTACCACCTCTTCCTCAGTGGAGCACGCGGAGCTCTTGTGAATGCATGCCGCGCGCTTGCCGGGCACTCGCACGTGATGCGCCGATCACGAATGTCAGAGCATGACGCAGGATCACAGCGACTCTGTACCATACTGTACCATTGCGACTGGACTCTGGTGGATGGTTAGGTGAGTGGTGGAACAAGCGCAACGCGTGGCCCAAGTATTGCGACACCGTCTTCATTTGAACACGGTTATAACACTCGATGTAGCTTCATTGCCATAAACGCAAAAATGCTCAAGGGGCATTGCTACACACATTGCCACCTCATCCCAGTACTGCTACGGAGATCGTCATGAAACACGTTATACACGCATTACAAGCTTTCTGATTGCAAAGCGCGCTTGTTGAATGTGAAAACGCTTATTCACGGCTCCCGAAAAAAAAAACTGCACCGGAATCGGAACCATAATCGGAGCCGGAAAAGAAACGGCGACAGAACAGTCATCAAAAACGGCCACGGAACCAGAACAAGAACAACAAAAAACAGAAACACAGAGTCAAACAACAGAAACGGGGCCCATCCACTCTTTTCTCGTAGCAGGTCAAGTGGAGACAACAGCAGCTCCAAATCGGTCCCTGGACCCCTCCTAGGGTCCAAACGCACCAGTTCTCTGAGCTGCATCCAACCGTGGCGACGAGGGCCCCCCAGAAGGCCAACTACCGGTGTCTCATGAGGTGGCCTTCTAGCGGTCCTCCCAGCAAGCGACCACATCTAAGAACACCCCAGAGCCTGCCAAAACGACCCCACCAAACGTTCAAAAGCCTCGTCGAGCCTCGATCCTTGAACCTCGATTTCCAGACGTAACTGGTGACCCCCCGCATTGACCCCCAGTGGCACTGCCCGACACGCAAGCGATCATCTCACCTCGGGGCGCGCTCCTGCGCCCCGGCCGCGACCGTGCCGTTCAGCTTGGCCCAGAGCGCGCTGCCGATGTCCGCACCGAACGCCGTGAGCGTGCCGAGCACCCCAACCACCTGGCAGGCTTGTTAGGACGAAGCCAGGACGAAGATGAATTCGGGCGAAGATCAATCGAGAATCTCTGAGATCCGGCTTCTGAAGGACGTCTGGGGCGCCCCGGCCCTCTCAGAGCGTTCTGGAACGCTCTGAGAGCGTTCCGGAACGCTCTGGAACGGATTCATCCTCGTCCTAGCACCGTCCGAGCTTGAGCCAGAACGAATCGCGGAATCGGGTCGGACCGGAAGCAGATCGGATCTCCAGCGAATCGTCCCGAATGGAATCGAAAATCCGCCGACCCCTTGTGGGTCTCTAGGCGTGTGAGATAGTTCCCCCCCCATAATCCCCCCCCCAGGGACCCCAAACCGGAGATTTGACCCCCCCCCCCGGGCCCAGCACGAGCGCGTCACGGGGCTCTTTTGGGCCCAAAAGGGGATCAAGACGGGCCCAGAAGGCTCCAAGAGGCCTCCAAGACGGCCCACGAGGGCCCCGAGACGCCAAACGAGCGCTCCCACACGCCCAAGATGGCCCCAAGACGAGCCTAGAGGCCTCCAAGACGGCCCAAGAGGTCCCCACGAGGCCCCAAGAGGCCTCCAAGATGCGTCCCAAGAGGGTCCCTAGACGCAAAAATTAGCCCGTTCCCTTCGTAAAACGTAGGATTTTCACAAATTCGCTTTCTGGGCTTTCCGACGCTCCAAGACGGCCCAAGAGGCCCCCAAGACCGCCCCAAGACGGCCCAAGAAACCCCCAAGAGGGTCCCAAGATAGCCCAAGAGGGCCCCAAGACGGCCCAACAAGCGTCCAAGACGGCCCAACAGGGCCCCGAAAAGGGCCCCAAGAGCGCTCCAGGAGCGCCCCAAGTGGCCTCCAAGAGAGCTCAATATGGTCCCAGACAGCCCAAGAGCGATCAAAGACACCGAAGATGGCCTCCTGACGGCCCAAGATGCCCCCAAGAGGCCCCAAGAGGCATCCAAGATGCGTCCCAAGAGGGCCTCTAGACGCAAAAATTAGCCCGTTCCCTTCGTAAAGCGTGCGTTATTTTCACAAATTCGCCTTTCGGGCTTTCCGACGCTCCCAGACGGCCCAAGAGGCCCCCAAGACCGCCCCAAGACGGCCCAAGAAGCCTCCAAGAGGGCCCCAAGACAGCTCAACAAGGCGCTGAGACGGCTCAAGCGGCGCCGAAGACGGCCCAAGAGAGCCCCGATGACGGCCGCAAGAGCGCTCCAAGTGGCTTCCAAGAGAGCTCAACATGGTCCCACACGGTCCAAGAGCGATCGAAGACACCCGAAATGGCCTCCAGATGGCCCAACACGCCCCTGAGAGGCCCCCAAGATGCGTCCCAAGACGGTCCCTGGACGCAGACATGTACGTATTCCCGTCGTGAAACGTACAATGTTCACACATCCGCCTTCTGGGCTTTCCGACGCTCCTAGACGGCCCAAGAAGCCCCGAAAACCGCCCCAAGACGGCCCAAGAGGCCCCCAAGACGGCCCCGCGACGGTCCAATATGGCCCCAAGACGGCCCAAGAGGTCCCCAAAACGGCCCAAGAAGGCTCCAAGACGGCACCAAGAGGGGCCCAAGAGGGCAACCAACAATTCAAAAATCTAGCTTTCCGCCCCCACGAGCCCCAGGGGGCCCCAAGAGCGCCCCAACAGGCCGCCAACGGCCCTCAAGAAACCGCCAAGACGCCCCAAGGAGCCCACAAGAGGCCCCCAGGAGGCCCCCAAAAGACCCCCAGACGCTTCCGTATTGCGAGCCGTCACGCCAACTGCAATGCACTCCGCGCATACAACCTTACTCTTCCTCGCGACGTGCTCACTATCTTGCTCGGCGCTAATGTGCTGCTGCCGCGCGAACTGTTTCGTGCGCGCTGCGAACGTCAACAGCCTCTTCACCCGTTTCGATTCATCTGCCACATCTTTCGCTGTGATGCTTCGCTGATCACAGCTTCCACACGCTACTCTTGCTCCTTTCGTCCTCCAGTGCTCCTCCACTTGGTTGCGGGTCGAAAGGCCGACCTCCCAAAAGGACACCCCGCACCCGGGTGCACAGCACGCAAAGCGCTCGCAAAACACGCCCCAGACCACCGGCATCACGCAAACATTTGGACCCCCTACGTATATGCCACCACCCGCGCGCGACACCGCACCCTCACACAAGACGCCGCTGGCCAGAAACTCCTGGCCTCGCAACACTCACAGAAGGGGTCGGCGGATGTGGCGTAAGCCTGTAGAGTCGGATCGACGCTCCTGGTACCTGGTGGAGCCTGGGGGAGCTTGTCCATGACTAGAAGAGCGAGGCAGCTGCAGCAAAGACTCAGGAAATTCGCGCGGAACTCCAACCTTTTGCGTTTGTGCTGCGCTGTCTTCTGCAACTCCTCCCCCTTCCCCCAGGAGCTTCCAGGGGAAGGGGAGGTGTGGGCCCATTACAGTCGGAACAAGAACACTCGGTCGGCTGTTCTGGCACATTCGCAGATACTCCACGCGAGACCGCCTTGGCATGCTGCTTCGCTCTCTGCTCTCTACTTTCTGAGCTCGCTCTGCTCTATGCTCTCTGCTCTACTTTCCACTTGTCTCTGTCTCTCTCTCTCTCTCTCTCGCTATGTCGCCCCTTCTCCTCTGTGTGTATACCCGGTCTTTCTCTATCTCTCCTTCTCTCTACTTGTCTCTATCTCTCTCCCTGCCGCTCTCTATACTTCTCTCTCTCTCTCTCGGTCTCTCTCTCTCTCTCTCTCTCTCTCTTCTTCTCACTTTCTGCTGTGTGTTACTTGATCGAACCCCTCTGCTGGCATTGCCTTCTTCTGTCTGATATTGTGGGTATATGTAAATATGCACACTCTCTGCGCTCGCTACCTCCACATATATATATATATATATATATATATATATATATATATACTAGAACCATCGCGCGCGCTTCGCGCGCGCTCAGGTTCTAGCCCATGCCAGGGGCGCGTTTGAGGATCTTGGACAGCGCTATCAAGCACAGGCGCGTGACAGTCGTGCCTCCTGAGGGCCTCTTGGAAACCTCTTGGGTCTTCGTGGGGGCATCTGAAGGGCTTCTGGGGGGCCCTCCATGCTTCCTCGTCTGGCTGTTGCAGGCACATATTGGGTGCTTCTCGGGGGGCATCTTGGGGCTTTTTGGGGCCCCTTGGGGGCGTCGTCAGGGTTCTCCGGGCAGTCGGAAAGTGATGTTCTGCAGCCTGAAGCAGACAATTGGCCGTCTTGGCTGCGTAGAGGCCCAGCTTGAGGCCACATTGGGGCAATCCGGAAAGCCTCCCGGGGCCTCCTTGAAGCAATTTTGATTGGCCCCGTGTACGTCTCCTGTGAGCCTTTTGTGGCCTGGTGGGGGGCTTTGGTGGGCCTCGTCGAACCACTTGGGGACTCTTGGGGCCTCCTGTGGGCCTCTTAAGGCGAAAGGCTCTGCTGCTGGGTTCGCGTTCACCTTCTTGGGGCTCTCTTGGGGTCCTCTTGGGGCCCTCTCGGGCTGTCTTGAGCGCCTCGGGCACCGTCTTGGGGCCCTCGTGGGCCGTTTTGGGGCCCTCTTGGAGGCCTCTGCGGTCTTGGGGGCCTCTTGGGCCGTCTTGGAGCGTCGGGAAGCCAAACGGCTGGGAACTTTTAAATCCATCAACAGCCGATGGGAAAACATTGCTTCTTGGAACCTCTTCGGCCTTCTGGGGAGCTTCTTGAGGGCCTCTTGGGTCCCATTTGGGGGCTTCTGGGGCTTCCTGAGAGCCTCTCGGGGTGGAAGGCTCGGATTCTCGGTTCGTTTTACCCCTCTTGGTCCCCCCTTGGGGCCGTATTGGTGCCCTCTCGGGCTGTTTTGGGCCCTGTTGGAGGCCTCGTGGGCTATCTTGGATTGGTATTGGAGGCCTTTTGGGCCGTCTTGGAGCGTCAGGACGCCAGAAGGCTGAAAACTCAAACATCAATCAAACACCTACGGCAAAACATGGATTTGTGCCTCTTGGGGCCTCCGTGGGAGGCCTCTTGGATACGCTTTGGCCCCCTGGGGGGGCTTCTTGGGGCCCTCTTGGAAGCCTCTGCGGTCTTGGGGGCCTCTTGGGCCGTCTTGGAGCGTCGGGAAGCCAAAAGGCTGGGAACTTTAAAATCCATCAACAGCCGATGGGAAAACATTGCTTCTTGGAACCTCTTCGGCCTTCTGGGGAGCTTCTTGAGGGCCTCTTGCGTCCCATTTGGGGGCTTCTGGGGCTTCCTGAGAGCCTCTCGGGGTGGAAGGCTCGGATTCTCGGTTCGTTTTACCCCTCTTGGGCCCCCCTTGGGGCCGTATTGGTGCCCTCTCGGGCTGTTTTGGGCCCTGTTGTAGGCCTCTCGTGGGCTATCTTGGATTGGTCTTGGAGGCCTTTTGGGCCGTCTTGGAGCGTCAGGACGCCAAAAGGCTGAAGACTCCAACATCTCATTTCGCATTTCGCATTTTGCAATCATGACAGCCTCCGCGGCGCGCGCGCCGGCGACCCCCGACGCGCGTTCCGCGGACGCTGCGGCTCAGAGCTGCCCGGCGTGAGCAGGTCGGAGTCGAGCCGATGGGGGACAGGAGGTGGTGTCACACACCCCTTCCCCCCCCTGCTGGTACCAGGGCAAGCAAGGGCAGGCCGCCCGCAACTAGCCGCTCCTCCCGCGGACACGGGAGGCGCCACTCGCCGGAGCTACGGGCCGCCTCGCTATCTCCACAGGCCTGCCGACGCCCGCTCCCCCCCCACCAGGAAGCCCCGCTCCCCCTGGCCATAAGGCCAGGTGAAGCTGGTGGGCGACCCTGGGGACGACGAGTGGGCCCCCGCAGACACCTCGGAGGGCACGCCAGCGGACCAGGCGCTGCGCCAGCGGGCTGGGCACCGGGAGCCAAGCGACCCTACTGCGGGACACCCGCGGTGAAACTGTGCACGAGGGGAGAGGGAGGGGCGCACGAGAGGGGGAGAGGGCCCCGCGAGCACCGCGGGCCTCTTGGGCCGTCTTGGAGCGTCGGGAAGCCAAACGGCTGGGAACTTTAAAATCCATCAACAGCC